TTGAAAAAGGAGGAATAGGGTTCAGTTCAAAGGAACTTTAAAAAAAAAATCTTTATTTATTTTATATATTTCATAACTATACATCACTACAGCCTGTAAATTTACCCAACATGAATATACCAGTCCAGCTGGAGATACCATATATGTTATGAAGAGACCTGAGAAAATGCGGTATCTCCATCAACGGTCATCCTTTTGAAGAACCTCGGTCTTCCTCACTCATGAGGAAGGCACACTTATATACCACATAGACTTCCGGTCGTCACATTACTTAAACTCATTCAGAACCCAGGGCTTAAGGCAATGTATTTCCAAAAACATGTTTCAACATTTGAAACACATTCCCTACTATGATCATTTCAGCCCCAAGAAATAGGTAGGAAAGGTAATGTTACTCCTATGAATATGTAAAACAGTCTTTTTCATCCTTACATTCGGTCATCGGGAAGCCATGACATATTTTTCTGTCTTTCTATGCCAGAATGCATCATGCCTTTCCCAATGACCCAGTATTTCAGGTAAGGAACCCGAGGCCCATACACTTACTCTGATCTCACAGACTGTAGGAACCATGGTTAGTATCTAGGCCTTCTGATTTCATTTCAGAATGATGTGCTGCTGATCTAGAGCCCTGAGTGTCACTTACAACCAATTTCGTTAATAACCATTCAAGTCTCCATTTGTTAGCTGTCAAAGGGGGATACCAGTGTTTATTTCAGGTGACTAGGGCTGTGCTAAATTGATTGTGGTCCCCTTTCCTCTCCAGAGTCTTTCCTCAGAATCCTGGGCCTGCCTCCCAAAAGCAGGTGATGAAACAGTAGGAAAATGAGGTAAAATGAACTCAGAATGGTGAACCATAAAAAGTAGTGAAAGAAAAGAGATTTTAGGTCAAAGTCTGAAACCACAAGAATACTTTTTAAGGTTCTGGTGCCTTGTAGCCAGTGTTCTCCAAATATAGCGTCATCAGAAAAGTCATGATGCATTTTTTCATAGAAAAACACATCATGAGGGACCAGCAGTTAGCGTAATGGCTATGTCGCTGGACTCCCATGTAGTTGACCGTGGCTCGCATCCCAAACCCGGTGGCTTAAAACTCACACCGGGCGCGTGTGCGTGTGTGCCCAAGATCCCAAGAGGAGAATGGAGGAGAAGGGATTGTGACGTGGCCATCCCCCCAGGGGGAGATTTCTCATTTTCTGTCTCTCTGTGTCTCTCTGTCTGTCTGGCGAGGGCATGCGCCCTATAGCAAAAACCTCTTAGAAAAAAAAAAAAAGAACACACGTCATGACTTTTACAATGACCCAATAGCTTCGAACTGGTTTCAGTCTGAAGCTGACATCCCTAAACGTTGTTCATTTTCTCTGTTAAACACTAATAATATGCTTTAACCTGAGGATTAGATATGCTTTAAAACTAAATTAAAAATGAAGATTACAAGGTACTTCCTCTTATCCAAAGGAAACAAAATATTAATACAAAAGATGTTGCCCTAGAGGTTAATGGGAAAAGAAATTATCTTGATTCTTTCACTTTGTAACATTTCAATTCAAATCTAAAATTGTATTCTTGATTGGCTTAAATGATACATGGTAATTTGTTGAAAAGTACAATGTGGCCATCTCTGAATTCTCCTAATTTACAGAGTGAACCAAAGAAACAGAAGCCCTAAAACAGAAATCTCCTTGGAAGTAGATTTTCTTGTCATAAAGACCAGAACGTGGGGGAAAGGCAGTATGATTTGAGGAAACACAAATGATTTCTTCATGAACATACACATCTTTGGGGATAGTACATATGAGAAACTATAAAGTTAATACAGTTTTGTTCATCAGGTTAACCAGGTATCACATCAACTCTAAGCTTGATGTAGAGAGACTGGAATATGGAAATCACAGGCTTTGACACAGTGACACTGAATTCAACAGAAATACTCATTCCTTAGTGCCTTTAGGCAGCATGAATGTGTGAGGTAGAGGAGGAGAGTCTAGCAGAACCAAGCTTTCCTCATCATCATCTGCCTGGATGTCGCACTGTATTGAAATTTGCAGGCTACTGAGTATTATTTGTCTAAATTATTTACACATATTTATTCCTTTGATTATTGTTCAATAAATACTTTGAACACTGACCCTTTCCCATGCACAGTGTAGAAGCTTAAAGAGGAAAACGTTTTTTGATTTCTGTCTACTGTCCTCAAAGAACTTAGAATGTAGAGATATGTGAATTTGTCTTAAAATAAGTTGACATCCCCTGAATCTCACGTACTGAAAATAGCATTAGAGAATCAACAATTGAGCATTCAAAATTAACTGTAAGCATGACAAACAATAAGACATCAGTTAAATGGGTTATAATACATGTCATAATGGAATATGAGGAAATCATTTAAAAGTTCAATTCTATTTAAGAACATAAAAAAATAGTTTACAGTACACTACATGATGTCATGTTTATATAAGCTATACCCCAACACTTAGTGGCTTAGAATAACAATTTATCTCATAAGTTTTTGGCTGGCTAAGGAGTCCTTCTACTGGATTCTCCCAGAATTACTCATGCAACAGTATTAGGCAGAGCAGCTCCAGGGTCACTTGGAGCCTGGCTCATTTGGGATACTGTGACAACTGAACCTCTCTATAAATGTGGTCTCTTGTTCTCAGGAAAGTAAGAATGTGGGTTAGCCCAATGGAGTGATAGTTAAGGTGGCTTGATCCCACATGACCGACTATGTGGTTCAAGTTCCAGACTCAGCAGCTCAAGAGACACTGCAAGTGTATGCATGCCCAAAATCCCAAAAGAAGAATGAGGAGATGGGATTGCAGTGTGGCTGTAACCCTGGAGTAAGTGTTTTCTCTTTCTTATCTCTCTTTCTATTTTTCTTTCTTTCTTTCTTTCTTTCTTTCTTTCTTTCTTTCTTTCTTTCTTTTTCTCTTTTACTTTTTCTTTTTTCCTTCTTCCCCATTTCTTTCTTTCTCTTTCTTTTCCTTTCTATTCCTTTCTTCTGTCTTTCCTCTTTCTCTTTCTTTTTCTTTCTATCTCTCCCTTCCTTAGCCTCTCTCCAGCAAGCCCATGTGCCCTATAGCAAATTTTAAAAATAAACAAATTAGGGACTAGCAGATGGCATAATGGTTACATCACTAGACTCCCATGTAATCGACCGTGGTTCAAGTCCTAGACCTAGCAGCCTAAAACTCATGCCAGGTGCATATGTGTGTGTGCCAAAAATTCTAAGAGGAGAACGGAAGAGAAGAGATTGTAGCATGGCCATTCCCTCTGGGGGTTGATCTCTCATTTTCTGTCTCTCTGTTTCTGTCTGTCTCTCTGGCAAGCTCATGTACCCTATAGGAAAATTCTCTCTTTAAAAACATAAATAAATTAAAATTAAAAACATAAATACTATACTGAGAGCTTAGAAAGCCTTCTGCTTAGATTGTGTTTCCTGATGTTTCTTTGGTCAAAGCCAGTGATGAGGCTAATCTGAGTCAACGTGGGAAGGGACCACACCAGGACACCTGCACACAAGGAGGGCTTACCCTTGGGAGTCATAGTTTGTATAATCGACCACGAATTCGCATTATAGTCACAAACATACATCCACTCACATACATAATCTGAAAGGAATACACCAAAACATTAATTTATGTTTGGGAGGGAGAAAGAAAGTTTATGAATAATTCTTTTTTATATTTCTAATCTACATTTTGAAACTCTGGGGACCAGCAATTGGTGTAAGGCTACGTCACTGGACTCCCATGTAGTCGACCACAGTTAGAGTCCTGGACCCAGTGACTTAGACTCAATGTCAGGTGCATGTGTGTGTATGCCCAAGATCCTCAGAGGAGAATGGAGGAGAAGGGAGTGCTGCATGGCCATCACCCATGGCGGGTGATTTCTCGCTTTCTGTCTCTCTTTGTCTTTCTGGTGAGTGCATGCGCCCTCTAGCAAAAACCTCTCAAAAAAGAAAAAAAAGAAAATAAAATCTGTAGTAAGCATATATAAGATGCATACTTTCTACTAAAACTTTAAATTTTATGGACCAGCTGGTGGCATGGAGGTTAAGGTGCTGGATCCCACAGGGCTGACTATACCATTCCAGTCCTGGACCTGGCTGCTAGGTCCTGAGAGCTTAGGCATTCATACCTAAAATCCCAAGAGACTGGAGAAGAAGGGATTGTGGCATGGCCATTCCCCCTGGCAGGCAATAACTCCCACCACCGCCATCTCTGTCTCTCTCTGGCAAGTGCCTGCGCCCTATAGCAAAAATTAAACAAAAAAATTCAAAGTTCAATAAAATTATCTGTGGGTATATCCTATCCACAATATAGAACTGGTCCAATTGTTCATATGTCTAAATGATGCATGTTTCATAGTAAATATGCTACATTGAGACATTAGTCACTCCCTCATTCCTCTGGAAGGAAATACGCCACACTGCCATTGCTATTTTTACACAACTTTGCTGAAATTTACCATCCATTTTATTTTGAAAGGTTGAAATGAGAGATGAGTCATGTGCTATTCATCAAAAATTACAGTAATATTGGTATGCTTTCAGACAGTAATTTAAATACATACACTTGTAGCCAAACCAAGTTACAGTCATGAGGGTCACCTCGTTCTTCAATGACATCCTCATCTCCAAAGCTTTGCTAGCGCAGTTTCTGTCTTCTAGACTGTCCTTCCCCTTTGTACGGCCAATCATTTCCTCAAGGCCCACTTTGTTCCAAAGTCCTACTTCACTAGCTCAGTCTACACTACCGCCTCTTCACGTAGTTCGATCACTTGATTATGTTCTGTTTTGCATGGTCATTTACGTGCAAACTGTCATGAATATAGTGGTTACTTAAATATTTGAAATCACTCTGAAGCTCTGAGTTTTGTACGCAGCGCTTGAGCATAATACACTGATTATTTGATTGCCTTCAAATTTTAACTAGTTGAGCATTTAGATTTTCACAGGTAAAGAGCAATCTCAGCTTCCATTCTTTCTGTTGCTACAGGAGAAAAAGGAGTATGTGTTTCCTGACTGTGAGTACTCGTCACTTCTCATGAGTTGTGATACTGCTTTGCGGTGAGGGAAGCTCCCCACCAGATGGCACATACTGGTGTTTGAGCAGGCGTGACTTCATGCCGGAGATGTGTGGAAGACACGTGTCAAGGAGGCATTTTTAACAGAGAGAGAAAGACCTCTGTAGTGGCAGCGTTTACTTATGACACACTGAACAAACTCATACAGAACACCCCTTCTCCTTCCCCTCTACTTCCTTCCTGAGAGACCTGTTGTCTGGAGACAAGAGACAATGGTTTGAACAAAGAGAAGACTTCATGTTAATATTTCCTGGAGCTGAGCAGAGGCAGACAGATCTTGTTCCATTACAGAGATATAAGGAAATGGGGTTGTTCCAAAAGCAATAAAAGTTTCCTTTCCTGTCTCCTCTTTTTTATACTAGTTGCTTAAATCTGAACATTTCTTAGCATTTGCAGATGATAGAATAGGTGGAAAGAAATGCTTATCTAATAAAGTCCATGCTATTAAACAAGCTACATCATTGCTTTCTTCCACCAGCATCCCAACTAGTATTTAGGAACCTTTCCTATTTTCTACTTTTAAAATCCCTTCCACTCCCTCAAGGTTCAGTGTTCATCTCTCTCTCCTGATCCTGCCATAGGAACAGGGTGGTGACCTCCTCACCATAATGGAAATTCCCACAGACTCCCTCTTTGACGTGATTCTCTCTGAGATTTGTATACAGTGAAGGATGCTTACTGTGGCCAAAAGGGGTTTTTCAGGCTCAGCAGTAGAGCCTGGCCCTGGGCTAAGCTGTGAAGTAGACAACGTTTGCCATGTTGCAGGATCCAATGTCTGGAATACCACCATTGTGCTTTCCAGGCCAGTCTGTCTCCACACTTTCCTTCTCCCTTTAGCACCAAAGAGGGCAGGATTTATGTATATATGTGCTATATATAGCATGTCTAATAAAAAAAAATGCTTGCATGTCATTTTCCCCCTAAGTTTCTTTACTATGTCTTCTATGGGAGAGAGAGACACACACAGAGATGAATATAGGGAGACAGAGAGGAAGGTATTCCCAGCAGGGTCTTCATGCTGCCACCACCTTCAGTCTTGGCTGGCCTTGACTATGGACATGTGAGTATATGCTTGGTTTACTCAAGGAGGTCCTGAGACATAAACCCAGGGCCTTTCCCATGTGGGACCAATTGCATTATTGCTTCTCCTGGCCCTGGCTGAATTTCTTTATAGTCATTTCCAATAGCAGAACCAATAGGAGTCTTTCAGACTTATTACTATGGTCTAGGAGGGGTGATACCACTCTGAGAGTTATTTCCTCCCTAGCTATTCACTCCTAGTATTCATATTCAGCTGTATAGAGCAAGAGTGAGCAGTCCAGTGTCTGGAAATCAGATGCCTGAGTTCTAAGGTCAACTTTATCTCTCTCTAGCTGGGTGACTATGGGCAAGTTCTCTTACTTCTTTGTGCTTGGTTTTATTTAGTCAAGAAAGCAGGAATATTAAACAAACCTACCTCATAAGAATTAAATCAGTTAATTACAAGAAGAGCACTTTGAACAGTGTTTATCACATTGTGAACACTCTTATAACATGTTACTCTTATAATATCTGCATTCATTTTCCTTTTTTTTTCTGCTCATAATAGAACTAATGTGTGTTCACACACATGAGAGCGAAAGAGAGAGAGCACCATCCACCAGGTTTTGTCTTGGCACAATCCCCTTTCTCCAGTCCTTCAGCCTCCCAGGAGCTGGGCACATATACATGTGCCAGATATGTTTTCAGGGCAACCCAGCCTGGGGACTCCAACTGCAGTTGGCACATGGTTTCAGCTCTATGTTTTGGTATGTTCTCAACTGTGCCATGATTGCTGGGCCTGTATTCATTTCTTATAACTATGGGAATGGCCCCCTTATGTACTGTCTCTTCTATGGTACCTAACTGAGCAGAGTTTATCCCCCATGACAAGAACAGATGTACCACATAAATAAGAACAGATCTATAAAAGGAAGTAGAATATTATATGAATTTAAATATTATAAGAAGCAAAATTTTGTAGAATCATAGAAATGAAAGTAAACCAGAAGTGGTTTCTATGATTAAAAGATGGAAATATAATATCTATAAGAATAACATCAATAACATGGAGACATGGAGAGCTTAAATGTACATCCCATCACTAGTACACACACACACACTTCTTCGACTCCATCTCTATTCCATCCAACTATCAAATCTTTTTTTATTTTTTTTTTTGGAGAGGATTTTTTTTTTTTTGCTATAGGGCACATGTGCTCACCAGACAGACAGAGACATAGAGACAGAAAGCGAGAAATCACCCCCAGGGGGGATGGCCATGCCGCAATCCCTTCTCCTCCATTCTCCTCTTGGGATCTTGGGCACACATGCACACGCGCCCGGCGTGAGTTTCAAGCCACCAGGTCCAGGACACGAACCGTGGTCGGCTACGTGGGAGTCCAGCAACATAGCCATTACGCTAACTGCTGGTTCCCCCAACTATCATGTCTTAGCAAGAGATTCTGATAGAAGATTCGTGAGGCCACAACAATGTGAATTTTTAAAGGACTGTACGATGATTCTGATTTATCTCTACCTAGTCCTTGCCCATTGATGCCCACACATCCTAATACTCTCAATTTATGAAGGGCAAAATGAGCCCAAGAGAGGAAAAATGGCTCTGCTAAAGACATGTTGCTAATCGTGACGGACCAGTGCATCCCTAATGCCCATCTCCGTCTTGCTAATTCATGGTCTCCAGCACCTGTGGCGGGTGCTTACCCGCCCCCCGCCCCCGCCCCCTTAGTAATTATCCCTGGGCATCCTCCAGAGATAGCCCACATATGCTCAGAATCAAGGTGTCCTGTTAGCCACTCTCTGACTTTTCTGTTCGTCTCCTCCTCTGGGTCAGCTCTTTGAGTTGTTGGCTCCTATCCCAGCTATTGCCGGGTGCACTGTACCTCCAGGTGCTATAGCGTTTTTGTCTCTCATTGCTGCTTCTGCTGAGCAGGTTGCCTGTGTGCTTCTGCTGCCCTTCCAACCAGTGTTACATCTCCCATTGGGCACATTGCCTCCCACTGGGTACCATACCCACTGATGCCCTAGGAAAAGGCTGTGCTGTGTAGTACTTTCCTCCATTATACAGAACACCAAAGCAGTACACTTTGTATTTGCACAATGCCACCAAGTTCTAGCAAAATGGCCTTCTAGTTTATTTTATTTATGTTTCCTGTTTTCTTCACTACATCTCTGCTCTGAAAATAAGTAGATAAACAGAACTAAAATACTGTAATGAATTCATACAACCAAAGTTTTGTTTCTACTTTAATTGGCTTTCTGGTTCTCTTTTCCATTAGAAAGGGTATTCTGAAAGTAAGTTAAGTGAAAAAAATATATATAGCAATAATAAAACCAACTGTTTTTTGATCACTTATTCCATGCAGGGTATGGTGCCAAGCACTTTGCATACTGTAATTCACAAGCAGCTGGTAACAAAGGTAATATTTTTATCCCAACTTACAGATGAAACTGAAAGGCGTTTTGTCACTTATCTAAGGGTTCACGGCTGGCAAGGGGAAGAGCAGATATTCCAGCCAGGTGTGCTGCCTCCAGGATGCAAGTCCTACTTACCTTACTGCCTTGTGACTAGACTTCAGAGATTTGTCAAATCATTACAATGATATATATAATATCATCTGTATGTAAATTTTTCTTTCTGGGGAGAAATGCCAGATACTTAAGGGGTAAAAAGGGGCCCTAGCATTATGTTAAGCCTTAAGAGATTATACAAAGCTCTATATTCTCATATGAAAATTGAGTCCAACCATGTCTGTCCCATCAGGTCACCAAACCTGCTCAGACATGTCTGGATTTCAGTGGTGACTCAGCTCAGGCTCCCACCATGATTAGCTCTAAGTAGCCGAACCAGGAGCACATGTTTGTTTCACAGTGTTAAGCCAACTCAAGTAATGAGATCATGTGCTCCTTTTCTTCCTCTCTTCATAGACTTTGTGCCTGGAACCTTTCTAGGTTACTGAAGACACCATGGCATTAGGAGGGTGAAGAGATGGAAACAGAAATGATCTAACCCATGGGGGTAGTGAGAAGACTTGAAGTCCAGTTGGTGGAAATGGCCTCTTTGGGGCTGATGACAAAAGTGTCCCTTCCCACCTGTGTCTGCTCAGCAGTCCCAGAGGGTGACTTAGCATGCTGCAGCTGTGCAAATTTTCCATCTCTGATAAAACTTCGCCTGAGAGGTATTTGCTGATGATTGTCAACAATCAAATGAATTATAGATGATGTTGGTAAACAAAATGCCGCCTTGATGAATGATGAGTTGGCTGTACTCTGACATGACTGCTAAGTCATTCAAAGCGCTGATTAAACCCATTACTGTAAAATAATCACCATCCATTACCTTTAATGTCGTGAACTGACAACCTAGTTAAGGCAGCTGATGGTGTCAGCAAAGTGATTTGTTGTACTGCACGTCCATTGGCAATAAATCACTTCGATAAATCAATGAACAGTAGCAATAAAACAATATATTTTCATATTTCTTGACATTCAATTACACAGTGTGTATACTGACTTATTCTTAAACACAAACACTGATATAGTAGGATTCCTCATTCACCAGCAATGAGCATAGAATTAATTCTATTTTGGCCTAGATTGGTGGAGACTTGTACAATTATGTTTGTGTATGTGTGTACACACATGACTGTATGCCTTCTTTAGTTACTTACCCAGTTGCTGCTGCCAAGATGACAGATTCCACAAGTACAGTAATAATACTAGAATGTTCCTCAGCCTGAACATAGATAAGAAGAAGCAACAACTGATAGAATAAAAAGCAGTAGACCAGAAATTGGGAGACCTGAGTACTTGATTATTTTTTTTAAGAGAGATTTTTGCTATCAGGTGCATGTACTCGCTGGAGAGACAGAGATAGAAAGTGAGAAATTACTGCCCAGGGGGGATGGCCTTGCCACAGTCCCTTCTCTTCAATTCTCCTCTCTGGATTTTGGGCACACACACACGTCTGGCATGAGTTTTAAGCTGCCAGGTCTGGGACTTGAATCACGGTGGACTGTGTGGGAGTCCAGCAACAGAACCATTAGGCCATCTGCTGGTCCCCTGAGTATTAATTTTTAATGAGCTGTTTGACCTTGCACAAGTCACTACTTAACCTTTCTTGAATTTAGTTTTTCATCACTAATGTGGGGATAATGCCTACCTATTACAGAGATTGCTTTATAAAATGTAACACTTTGAAAATTTAAATTTCATTTATTTAAAAATCACTAAATCTCCATTGTTTTTGTTTTGTTGTTGTTTTTTGTTTTGTTTTGTTTTGTTTTTATGT